GTTGGACTCCCGGCGGCAGCATCAGCGGTTGTTACTGTGCCATTAGGGAAGCGGTCAGTCAGTCGTGAACATGGACTCTCGTAATGGGCGTCCAGGTCAACATGGCGGTTGATACTACCCGAATTTGAGTACTAAGCCTAAAGAAATTCCCTCGCTAGCTTTGTGTTAGTCATGCCGACGGCCGCAATGTCATCCCAGTTGAATTGGTGGTCATACTCGAGTGTATGGGCAAAGACGAGGGACAGGGAGTCTCGCCGACGAATAGGTAGTTTGTGTTCGTTAATACGAGTGCTCAGACGTCGACCCTTGTGACCAATATACACGCAGGAGCAATTTGCGCACGGGATGCGATCAAGTACGTTTGTTTGTTGCTTTTTGGGGATGCGGTCCTTGACTCGAGATAGTGCTGCGCTTATTGATTATGCCAGTTTGCGGACAGCATGAATTTCAAGGGTTCCGGCGGGTAGAATTTTTGTGCCGTTATTTCTCTATTGGGATTAGGATCTTGCGTCTGTGTCCGGCGCCTGAGGCAGTCGAACCAATCGGATATCCGTTTGGTCGAAATGGTCGAAACTTATCGACAAATTGATTGAATGTCGTTGGGCGATCGCCTGCTGGGTTCTAGACGAAAGTTCTGTGGAATAAAGAAAAACCCCAATTCATTCTGTGGGTAGATTGGATCGCCACATGTCACGCGCTCTGAACGCTCAATTTGCGGTCGATGGAGTGTGAGCGTTCTGCTAAAGGGACGAGGGTTAAACAACCTTTGATTAGGCTACCGTCTAAGGACGAGAGCGGCCAAGTCAGACACTGTGCCATTCCATCGTTAATGTTAGGTTTATGGGAGACGGGCATTTGCCGATCAAGTTGCGAGATATGTCCTCCCCGTTAGCGAGAGAGGCAACACAGACTGAGATGGTCATTTCCAGTTAATTAGCCGTCCTCAGCCAGCCTTGCCCACCCCCACTTGTCGGCCAGTATATTTGGAGAAAATGACAGAAGCTCTTAAAACTCCATTTAAACGGTATAGGTGTGAATAAAAAGTAGTTGACCTGCAAAAAGATTTTACATGTAGTTTTGGTGTGCAGAATGCATAAAACTAATGGTGAAACATAAATGTGAAAAAGGTGTGGCATTTGCGAAATAACGGGTGCATCGGCACTGTGAAATTTTCAGCCAGGCCAATGTTTATGTACACAAAGGATCTATTGAAATCATGTTAGTAATACGTCGATATTCGTTTCAGTAACACACTAGATGGGGAGTTCGGGTTGCCTTTTGGCGATGGGTTCACGAGATGGACGTAGTAAGTCGCTCGCCTGCTTGAAGGTATAGACTACGCCTACCGTCCATTTGCTGGCACCCAACTCTCGCCTGTCTCAGATGCGTACGCAGTGGCCATAGGAGTGAAGCAGGGTTGCGTCCTCGCGCCTACCCTCTTCAGTCTCATGTTCCCTTCCATGCTGATGGACGCCTACCGTGACGAACGCCCTGGGATCGGCATCGCCTTCAGGACGGACAGCCAACTCCTCAACCACCGACGAATACACTTCCAGCCGAGTGAATCCACAACTACTGTTTATGAACTTCTCTTCGCTGACGACTGTGCCCTCAACACCAGCTCAGAAGGGAACATGCAGGCGTGCATGGATCTCTTCACCGCCACCTGTGAAAACTTCAGCCTGCTCATCAAATCAGAGAAGACAGTGGTCATGCACTAACCGCCAGCCAACACTGCCCGGTTGCTACCTCAACAGCAAGCTGAAGATGTACAAAACAATCATCCTACCGACGGTACTGTACGGAGCGGAGACCTGGACGGTTCACAAGAAGCAGACGCGGAGGTTAAATCACTTCCACCTCACTTTTCGTCGGTGGATATTTAAGCTGAGGTGGCAGGACCGGATCCCGGGCACGGATTACTGGAGCGGATGGGAATCCCCAACATCTACGCCATGCTGAGACAACTGCAACCGCGTTGGAGCGGCCAGCTCGTGTGGATGGACAAGTGGCTATCCAAACGACTCTTCTATGGAGACATCGCCACGACCTCCCGTCGTCAAGGAGGCCAAATCCGTCGATAAAAATACGCCATTAAGACCTCACTGAGACGTCTGCAGATCCACCCGGCCAGCTGCGAAGATTTCGCCGACCTGGAGGAGAACGGTGAAGACATGCGTAGCGATCTACGAAGCCAACCGCATCACCGCCGCGAAAGCCAAACGCGAGGCTCGAAAATCTACACTGCGCCCATCTCGCAACGCCAACGCCCAACCGCCTCCGACATGTTCACGATGTTTACGGACATTCCGGGCGCCACTTGGACACCTCCGAGCAAACTACAGCATCCGGACTGCACCAGCCGTCGTCTCTCCGTCCACCTCTCCCCCGCCTCCCACACCGTCAACTAGGATTGACCACCCTCACGAGCAATCATTACCTTCCTCCTTCTCCCCTTCCACCGCCTCAACGTCTGCCATGCCCATCAACACAACGCACAATCCTGAGACACCAACAACCACCACCGTCAACGCCAGCGATGAGGACCTGGTTTATATTTGTGCTCATTGCGATCGCATCTCCACCTCACACATTGGTCTGGTAGGTCACTTGCGAATCCATCGCACAGAGACTGGCGAACCAGTGCCTAGAGCACCAACCTACACTCGCCGCATACGTTACCACTGTTCACACTGCCCTTGCACCTCCATGCACCGCATGGGTCTATTCGCTCGCGTGCCTATCCACGAGAGCGGACTTGACCGCAGCCGCGACACACGTAGCACATCTTGCACACCCGCCATGCGCAGTCGAACCCACACCCCGTCGCATAGGACGCCCACCATCACTATCACCGAAGCTGATACTGACGCCGCCGACTTCTCATGTCCACACTGTCCTCGTATATTCACATCACGTATCGGCTTGATCGGTCAATTGAGGATCCATCGCACAGAGACTGGCGAACCAGTGACTGGAGCACCAACCTACAATTTCTGCATCCGCCTCCACTGTCCGCACTGCACTCGCACATCCACGAAAACTCGCGGTAGACAGCCGCCGGCTGCACCCCACTTAACTCACCAGCATCTCCCCACACATCAACATTACCCACCTCAGGCACCTGTATCAGCCGCTCCAGTCCCCCTTTTCTCCGTCTCCGTTTCGTCGTTCGATGGTCGCGACAATCGTTGACAGGCCGTTGACATACCACCACCCCCGCCGGCTAGAACTGGGGCCCCTCCTGTCCAGCTGCAGTGACTCCCGGCTGCCTTCATAAACTATTATCACCTCACGCGCGTCGGACGACCTGACTTAATACCCGTGAGCCCCTGTGATTATGCGTCCCCCCCTAATCCGTCCAATCTCATGACCAGCACTCAGCCAGTCACCCCCACCTACTGACACAGACATTCACGCCCGCGTAAACTTCACACCGCGACTGACGCTCTTCGTGAACGGATGCTTATCTCTGTTGAAAGCAAACCGCCAACTTATGGCAACCTGCCCTGTGTACAGAGTAAACTATTCCTCCCAGCTTCCCGACCTCGGACATTAGACGAAACGAACTTATTGTGCGTGTTTTAAGTCGATCTCACATCCTGGGCCTCCACACACCCAACTGCCACCTCACACGCAAGCTGGAAGTGTGCGTCTCGGCTTCTCCATGCAGCTCCCCTGCTGCAGGTGTGATCGTAGTCTGAGACGTAGACGGTGCGTCGAGTGGCTCAGAAGGCAGCCGACTGACGCCCCAACTCAGTCCACGCAGTCTGCCCAGTTTTCGTGTGTGTTGTGTGGAATGGCGGACTGGTGGGCTGAGATCCAGGCTGTCAGGGCCCCTTCTCAAGCCATCTGTGACACTCTCATGCATGTGAAGAGGGTGTCTGTGTTTGTGTGTATGCTTTATGGACAGTGCCCCTTAGTCGACGACTGTATGGTTACCTGACCTTGAAGAGTGACGTTCCAGGCTAAATGCAGGGCCAGGTATCGCCCATCTAGGTCAAAAGGTCTGAATGCGTGTGCTATGTCAGTATCAGCAAACCATGGCCTTCGTAGCCTGGTATGCGCTGGCAGTTCCCTAACACCTGGTTCCCTGCCGGTAACTGCGTTTTCGCCCACGCTGGGTATACAGGTGGTGGGCATGGCTGCCCAGTCATCTTCCTCGTCCTTCTGACCCCTGTTGTGGTGTTGTTGTTTGTGTTGCTGTTGTTGTTGGTCAAAAACCTGGTCATTTGCTGTGTGGATAAGGAGGTGTAGAGTGAAGCACCAAGGTGCGGACTCGACCGCGCTATCCACCTGCGCCTCCCCCACCTCCGGTCTTCTTGACTCTATCTTGACATCGGGTCCAGGTGGGGAGTGGGGAAGAGAGAGTGCGGTGGATACTTCGCGAGTCTATTATCACTATAAACTAATTCACGCGCAGGCCACCGTGTCTGCTTCACCTTGCTGTGTAGCACACTGTGGACATCGTCGGTAACGAGGATCGAACTGTCGACTATACAGATGTCTCCTGAACTCACTGACGGTAGGGGGAATTTACAACATACGTCGACAAAAAATTCTACTGGCGAAGGACTCTCTGAGAGAAGAAGGTGAAATGTTGATTGGTGTGGCACAGTTACTTCTTAAGCTGGTAATTCTGTCGTCTGAGACTACACTTTGGTGCCATTTCAAAAAGAGTTTCCCGGTCGACATCCATATCAAGTCCTCTTAACAACTGGAACGTTGCTATGAGTTAACCCCAGTCCTGCCTGCAGTGATAGAGATTCAGGGCCGTCAAGTGCTGCTAGTACGCAAGATTGTTGAGTTCATGAACAGCCTTTTTAGTATATCGATGTACACTTTCAGGGATATTTATATCCATCCGAGGACACGGCCGTCAAGCCTGTATTGCATATTCAAGGTGCGGCCGCACAACTGCCCCACATACCTTGCCAAAGACATTTGCATTCAAATTAATAAACGTTCTTTGTATCGCGCTCATGACTGACATTGACCGCGCTGCGACTTTAGAATAATGCGTGGCGTCGCTTAAGTCGTCTTTAATGAATATGCCAAGGTATTTTTGCCCATCTACGATCTCAAGTGGTTGATTATCCAGGAGGTACTGCCGTGAGTGTGCACTTATTCTTCGCCTTGTTGATGCTACGTGCATTACCACACACTCCATGCATCAGTTCTCGCTCCAAACGTGCAAATTATCTACGTCCTCTTGAATGAGCTGGGACTCGAACCCAACGTTATTCATCGCATACGGAAGAATAGGACATAGAAAGCTATCGGCGACCTCTGTTCCAACGAGAGTGACATCATTTGCTTTTTTCCAGGAGACATGCCATTGGCTGCATCTATATGTGTTACTTTCTAAACGGAAGTTAAAGCAAAAGGCCTTCCCAC